ATCATGTATGAACAAAGACAGTTTTTTCCTTCCTTCCCAAACTACATGACTTTTATATCTTTTTCTTTAGTTGGATAAACTAGGACTAAGTAGGAGCAATGAGAAGGGATATCCTTGTCTTACTCTTAATTTTAGAAAGCATCTAGATTCTCATCCTTATTCAGATGCATTCAGGTGCAGCTGGGTGGGGGGGGGGTGCGGGGCAGGGGGAGGAAAGCACATCTGGCAGCAAGGGGCGATCTGGCTTCCTATTTAATGGTCCTTGAAGAGACCGGAGAGTTAGAATACAGGATTCATTGATTAGGCTGACAGACAAAATGTTATGGCATACATACACCAGAAAGCGATGGGAATCTGCTCAGAGGAGTGATGATAGTCAGGCCAGGAACAGAAGTTTCTGGAAGCATAAGAGCACACTACTTTTGGCGAACTTCTCACAGCAACCCGATTGGACAGAGTAGACTTGCCCCTCTGGGTTTCTGTAAATTTTTACAGTAGAAAGCCACACCTCCTGCCAAGGGGCTGGTGGTTTCAAGATGCTTACCTCGAGGTTCGTTTCACAGGGATGTTGTTAGGTGCCATCAGGTGGGTTCCGAGCCACAGCAACCTTATGCACAACAGAACAAAACACTGCACTTCCTGGGCCACCCTCACCATTGCCCTATGCTTGAGTCTGTTGTTGCAGCCACTGGGTCAGTCCATCTCCTTAAGGGGCTTCCTCTCCTTTGATGCCCTTCAGCTTTACAAAACATGATGTCTTTCTCCAGAAACTGATCTCTCCTGACATGTCCACAGTACGTAAGACAAAGTCTCCATCCTTGCCTCTAAGGAGCATGCTGGCTATACTACCCAGGTGTGTAGGGAATAAATAAACTAGTAGGACATAACAGCTAGAGGAGATAAAGGCCAAGAACATAAAAGACCCACTGTACTCTGCTAAAGGATTTAGACTTGTTATGAATTATGGCAAAAGCAGTTTGTTAGTAGCTACTCACCTAAAATAGGTTGGCAGTGTGAACCCATCCATCAGCTGTGTGGAAGAAAGGCCTGGTGAACAGCTACTGTACAATCATAGTAAGAAAACTCTACGGAGCACTTAGGGGATGAGAGTCAAGGAATTAGCTACACAATGTCATAATCAGATCTGCATTTTTGAAAGACTGTTCTTTTTAAAATGTGAAGCCCAAGGAGAATATATCTAGAAGGCTGTGTGTTATTTTTCCCCTGTGTGCTTTCTGTTGCATGTGGGTACCACTGCATTTCCCATTGCCCAAATTGAAGACTTTCTCACCCTCTAATTGGCTACCAGTTCTATAGATTTTGCCTTTAAATCATTCTAAAATCCCGTCCCCGTCCCCCGCCAAGCAGTTCCATTCCTTGCCCTTATTTAGTCTGTCTTCTATCTGGGCTTCCTCCTCCAATTTATTCATAACAGTCCTAATGGGGATCCTCCCACAAATGCACTCAGTACTTTGGTGCTTAACCCTCTTCTGGAGGCAGCGGTGGCTCCATGGTGGAAAACTCACCTTTCATACAGAACCAGGTTTGATTCTGGACCAGTGCACCCCAAGTGCAGCCGCCGCTCATCTGTCAGTGGAGAACTGCGTGTTTCTGTGGGGTTTCCAGACTAGGAAGGAATAGGAAGAAAGGCCTGCCGATCTACTTCTGAAACCCAGCCAGGAAAAATCCTAGGGGTCACATGGCACTGTGCATGGGGTTACCATGACTCGGGGGCAGCCATCAAACAACAGACCTCTTCTAAGGTTTCCCTCAACCCTCAGGATAAAGTTCAAACTCTCTCCTGTGGCCTCCCCTGACCTCCCCAGTCATATGCCTTGCCTCCCTTCCTGGGCCGTAATTCCGCTTTGATGAACTGGTGGTTTCCCCAACTTGCTAGGCTGTTTGGATTCTCTCCAACCTTCCCTCCTCATTCACCTGAAGAAAATACACTTTTTTCAAAAGGCAGCTTAAGGGTTATTTCCTCACCGAAAACTCCCTTTAACTACAAACTCCATACCACCAGTTCTCCCCCTCCCCGATCATTGCTCATTCTCAGGTCCTTTGGGGCAACCTCTCACCACATCGGGAACATACTTTGAATAGTTGTCTCTCTAAGTATAGGTTGTATACATCACAACCCTGTTTTCAAAATGATTGTTACTGTTTTGCTTTTATAATTATTTCCATAGCTATTATAATTATCAGTGTGCAGGATTCCTATGCTACAAACCTACCGAATCAGTATCTGGACTCAGGCTACGAATGCATTTTAAAAATTTCCTAGATGACTGATAACTGTCTGTTTCTTGATTGGGTGCTGATTACATGAGATACTCATTGGTGCAAAAATTATTGAAATGTGCTCTTGGGATATGTACTTTTCTGTATGTTACATTTCATTGTAAAGTTTAAGAGGAGACTCCCTGTACATGATACCTGAAAACAATGGACTTTTATTAAATTAGAAACCCCTTGAAGGGGATAAAGCCCTCTATTTTGTTTTTGTGCTCTTAGTATCTTCAATACGTTATTGTTGTTAGGTGCCATCGAGTCAAATCTAACTCATCGTGACCCGGAATGCAACAGAACGAAGCAGCACCAAACAGGTCTGCGCTGTCCTCACAACCGTGGCTGTTTGAGTGTGTCATGTGTCAGTCCATCTTTCCGAGGGTCTTCTCTGGCTCGCTGACCCTCTGCTTTATCCAACTATCATGCTGTCCATTATAGGGGCTTGTGTCTCCTAATAACATGTCCGAAGTACGTGAGACAAAGTTTTGCCATCCTTGCTGCTTAGGGGCATTCTGGCTAACTTTCTTGCAATTTGTTCGTCCTTCACCTACAGCAAAGCACACGGTAAATGATTGTTAAGTAAGTAAATGAAGAACAGAAAGAAACAAGTAGCTGGTGGATTCCTTTCTCCTTCATACTTCCCACTCTTCCAAACATCTGTTCCACATTCCTGCTGGAGCACCTGATGCCTCATGTCTCACACCTATATCACTAACAACACCCCCTGAATAAACCAGTGAGATGGCATCTGACTTCCTCCCCACCATGCACAGGGTATCACTGACCTAGTGTGCCAGCCCAACAAGGAGAAAGCCGGTATAGGACATTCTGTCCCTAGAGCCAGTCACTTCTGCCCTGTCTGGGTCTGAGCCACCTGGATTAGGACTCCTTACTATGCACAGGAATCAAGCTGGGAGGAATATGTCCCTGGAGGTACTGCAGTGCCAAACTGCTGTTGGATCCTGGTGAAATGTGCACAGGATCCTGGTGAAATGTCATTTAAATTGTTCATTCAGTCATAAGTTATAACCATGAACTTCCTGGGGCCGGAATGATAAACTAAATAGGTAACATCATATTCTGCCTTAGTGGAGCTTAGAGTCTAGTGGGAAAGACAGGCAATCAAATAATATCGATCATCTGTACAGTACTTAGGATGATATGCTTAGCACTATTTTGTTTTGTTTTTTTTACCTATATTAACTTACTCTTTGTGTATGTTAATTCATTACATCACTGGAAGAACTCAGTGGTGTTCTAGCATCATCACCACCACTTTACAAATGAGAGGGTTGGTGCATTACAGTTGACAAACATCATGATAAGGGTCGTGAAGGTACAGTATACAGGGAGTTGGAAGAGGACGGAGCAGGAAGAGCTAACTAATGTAGACATAACAGACAGAGACGGTATTTAGATATGTGAGGTGGAAGGGGCCATCCCAAGAGAAAGCTGGAATGTAGTAAACAAAAAGTTCTGGGTGATGAGAATGTCAAGTAACAGAAACAGCTGATACAAAAAGGATAAACGTGTTTGAGAAACTGACAGGTGGCAGCCAGTGTAGAGGTCACACAAGAAGCCCATCATAAATGAGGTAGAAGTGGGCTTGGTCCAGTTCACTCAGGGCTTTTTTTTCCCTCTGCCTTCAAATAACGTGTTCAGGCCAAAGAGAGAGGATGTTGGGGGATTTAGGTTTTCGCTCAAGTTTCGCACCACATACCCTCAACCACTTCTCCATGTCCATTTCCCTATGTGAACCATGAGTGGATGAGCCAGAACTTTCAGGTGGCTCCCATCTTCCTAAAGCCCTAGTTCTAGTTTGCCAATCAAGCAAATCACACAAACCCTGGACGCCAGTTCATTGAGGCCCAGCTGCCCTGAAGATATGGTAGAGATAAATGATATAGAACAATAAAGACAGTTCTGAGCTGGTGTTTGACCTGCCAATAACAGCCTGTTAACTGTAGGGATGATACAGATTTCCTAACAACACTGCTTCCAGTAAGAAAACTGAAGCCTCAGGATTACACAACTTCGGGAGGGTCCTCACCACCCAAGGTTACCCTGCCAACTCAGCATGCCCAATCCCGTTTCCTATGGCCAGGTGTGTTACTTGAGCGGTGACATTGTCTGGTTTTGCTCATGGGTGAGATGGCTCTTGAATGCAGCTCCGACTCCTGGAGCTCACCCTCTTGAAGGCCAGGCCATGCTGCCTTCCCTGTTTAAAACCTAGACAACTCTTTTTACATAACTTGAGATTGCCTCTTAAAAGTCTTTTCTGGGTGAGGAAAGTGCTTTTTATAGCTTGGGGTTGCTTCTGTTTACTTGCTCTCTGCCAGCATTGGTTAATCCTGCCAGCAGCTGTGTCCTTCTCTGTCCTTTCTTACACTGTACTCCTAGGTTTCCACCCTGCAGGACAACTCCACGAGACCACATGGGGAGTATGTGCCAGCAAGTGAATTTCACAGATCTTCCTCTCCAACTCGGCCTACCTTTCTATAAATAATACTTATCCTTCTCTTACACACATGCGGGCCGGGGAGGCAACATAAGTGACCTTGCAAAGGTATCTGCCCACAAAGGACAGGATTAGCAAAACCTCAAACTTCTGTAAATATTTATTCGGGTTTCCTCCTGCATTTCTCCCGAAGTTGCACGCACCTCGCACGTGCCTTGCTCAGTCCAGTCCCCTCTCGGGTCTGAGCAGCCACACAAAGCCCAGCCCGGCCATCTCCTCTTTGCAAACCTAGAGAACTCCGGTCCCCATGTTGAAACTCGGCAGTGGCGGTGGCGGGCAGGACTGGGCATGCTCAGTAGCAGGGACAGGTTTGGAAGACGAGGAAGCCGCGTTTGAAGTCCGTGGCTAGGGAGTCAGGGGGAGGCTGACGGCCGGGGCCGGGCTCGGGGTGCACTGGGGTCCCAGGCCCGCGCTTGGGGTGGGCAAGCTGGAGGCGGGCTCCGAGGGGCGGGCGGGTGGTGGGCAGGGCGTGGAGAGGCGGGGGCAGCCGGTGGGAGAAGGGGAGGAGCGCCCGACTCCCCATCCCCCGGCGCCGGCTCTGCGGCTGCTGAATCGGAAGCCGCAGGGAGGATCCGGGGAACTAAGGACGTCCGAGAATGACCTCCAGCGAAGCCGCCTGAGCCGGGGCTCGCGCGCTGCCCTGCCAGCCTCCAGCATGGACGGCGGCGGCGGGCAGCCGGCGCATTCAGCGCCGCACGCTCCCGGGGTCCCCGCCGTCGCCGTGAACGGACTGCTGCACAACGGCTTCCACCCTCCGCCGCTCCAGCCGCCGCGCCTCTGCAGCCGGGGTCCCGCGGGCGGCGGCGACGCGGCGCCCCCTCGCCTCCCGCTCCAGCCAGAGCTCCAGCCGCAGCCGCCGCCGCCTCAGCACGACTCCCCGGCCAAGAAATGCCGGCTGCGGAGGAGGATGGACTCGGGGAGGAAGAACAGGCCGCGTAAGTCCGGCCGGGAGGGGAGCGCCCGGCGGCCGGGAGAGGCGGGGGCGGGTTCTGCATGCACCTGGTGCGCACTAGCGCCCGCCGTCGGGGGAGCCTGGGACCGATCGGGTGCTTTCCGGGGAGCGCTAAACACCCCGAATTGCTACTGGAGCCCAGGCTTGCTCGCTCCCATCCGTTTGGATGGCTGATTGGCGATGGAGCCTGAGCTGGTGGGTCCTGGTCACAGTTCTGTTAAATGCAAACGCGCTGCCGGTCCATATTTGTAGCTGGGAAAAATACATGCTAGTGTTCGAACATAAGAAGGGGACTGGGAGTTGGGTGGCGGCGAGCAGGCACTCACAATCAGCGCTGCCCCCAACCTTTTCGCCGCTCTCCTTTCTGGGGTTGGCGCTTTGGCAGGGCTTGCCCTTTGAATCGCAGGGTAGCCGCCAGCACATTAGATCTATTGGTGAGCGCAAAGTCCGGAGGCGTGGAGTCTGACAACCCCCCAAATCACAGCCTATTAAATGCTGTTTCTTAGCGGCCAATAAGAAGGCTTGTGGGGAGGGACACACCCACTGATACCATGTGGGCCGGAACTATGTGAGCCAATAAGGATTGGAGGTGTATCTTGGTGGGGGGGGGGGATGTGAAGTTGAGCTTCGTAATTGTAATGTACAGTGCAGAAAACTGAAATAGTTATTTCACAATCGAAAGAGTGTATATATACGAGTATTTATAATGTTGCTTTAAAGAGGGTACCTTTCTCGCAGAACGTTCTGGAATGTAAATTTGTAGGTCTTCAAACTTTTTTTTTTTTAATCTGAGCCGAACCGCTTTCAACTGGTTACCACTTTCTGGGTCTTTTTAATGAAGCTTATAAATGGAAAAAAGCAAAGTAAGTAGAATGCATGGTCTATGTGCAATCAAACATGCACTTTTTGTATATAGATTATTCTGTGTGATGGGAAACTTGGTAGGTAGAGTTTTGATTTGTCTATGAAAGTTACATCTTTCCTTGTTTCTCTGTTATCTGTTGACCCAGCTTTTCTGCATGGGCTTAAACGTTTTACAGACTTTGGGGAGCACTTTAAGCATGACTATGGGAGTCATGATGCCTCTGATACCTGTGCTTTATAGATCTAAAATTAAGTTTTAAAGGTAAGTTTTGTGTGGGACTTTGAACCCACCAGATTTGATTCTGGCTTTAAGGCATCTAGCATTTTAAGTTTTCATTTTACTTTTTTTATGTTTATCAGAAAATCACTTTATGAACTCCGTGTTGATGACTTCGATATACTAACCTGTTTTGCTTCCTTTGAGACCACATTTTAGGTACTTCTCCGAACTGCATTAACAGCACTAGAGTTTGTGATGTTAATAACCTGTGGTAAAAGATAGTGAAAGGGAATTGTACTATATATTTGTTTAAAATTGTCAGTTTGAATGGTATCGGCTCAATTCAGGGCATAACACCTCACCTGTTAATTTTTGAGAAATTGAAAATACACTCACAATATCTGAAACAGAGAAAACTAACCCAGAGTCTTGATTGTATGCTTCCAAACCCATAGAAATGATTGTTGTAAAATACGAGAAAATACAACTTTTTCTCTGAGGTGTGTTAGAAATCCATGTGCTTTAAACTGCTGACAGAAGTCAGTCTCTTAGGTGCTGTATCAGTTTGTTTTGATGATCACAATTGGCTTTTTATTATCCTGCCATGTTTATTTTCTGAGATTTTAACAAACATTTCTAAAATAAAATTTGCATGCTCCCAGTCACATCTGTCTGTGCATTATCCAAATTTCCTAGTTAGAGTTTGGATAGCTGTATATTTTGTCTGTTAACATGAATGAGTTTTGTGGGGTTTTGAAAAACTTCTCATTGTGAATTGAGGGAAGGTTATGTAGAACAAATGAGTCTCCCATTGAGCACTCCATACACATTTTGTTTTGTGTCATTAGTTGCAGTCCCCCAATGCTATACCACTTATCCCACATGTTCTCTGGGTTTCCCATTTCCATGCTTCCTCCTTCCCTAACCCTTTCTACCTCCTGAACTTTGTTCTGGGGCAAATGCTGCCCTTTGACTCTGAAATGGTTGATTATTCTAAGAAGTGTGTACTTTCTGGTGTGACTGTTCTCCTTGTAGACTTGTCTGTTTTGTGACTGAAAATTGAGCCCTGGAGGTGAGTTCAGTTTCAGGTCTGAATGGTGACTAAGGGCCATCCATAGTCTTAGGGGTTCCATCAACCTCTATCCATCCAATAACCCTGGTCTCACAATTTTGAGTTTTGTTCCACATTCTCTCACACTCTATCCAGACCGTTCTAATGTGATCCCTTTCAGAGTAGAAAAACGGCCTAGTTCTTCTGGCCTCGGGGTCCTGGAGGCTGAGGTTCATTGTGGTCCCATTGAACTAGTGGTTTGGGGGTTCCAGCCCACCCCCACCCCCCCACGCACACACTGCACTAATTTTTTCCCTGTCTTCCTTTAGTTTTCTTCACTCTTTTGTGCTTTGACTAGAGACAATCATAGTGGCTCCTTAGATGGCTACTCACAAGTTTTGAAGACCCCACTCGCCACTTGCCCAAGTAGGATGTAGAACCTTGTCTTTGTGGACTACGTTCATGAGTTTTTTAATAAAAGAAAATACTGCTTATTCATTTAATATTTTGTTACTGTAAGAACTTTCTCATAGCCTCTCACTATTTTGTGGTGAAGGGATCCTGCTGATGGTGTGGGTTAAATGTTGAACTGCTCTAAGATCAGTGGTTCAAACCCACCAGCTGCTCTGAGAAAGAAAGATGAGGTTATGTGTTCTTGTAAAGATTTACACCTCTCTAATGACCCTATGAGCCCTGGTGGTGTAGTGGTTACTCATTGGACTGCAGTCCTCACAGCCAGTTGTTCAAAACCACCAGCCATTCCTTTGAAGAAAGATGAAACTTTGTGGTCTGTAGTTACAGCCTCAGAATCACACGGGAGCAGTTTTACCCTGCCCTATAGGGTCGCTGTGGATCAGCATTAACTTGATGGCAGTGAGTTTTGAGTGAATGACTTTATATCATCTTTCTCTCCCATAGTTACTGGTGTATTTGAACCACTGACCTTAAAGTAGTACGTGTTTCTATATAAGGTCATTCATTAGGAGCTCTGGTGGTAGTGGCTATGTATTGGGCTGCTAACCACAAGATCAGCAACTCAAACCCACCAGCCACTCCACGGAAGAAAGACTTGACTTTCTACTCCCATTAAGAGTTACAGTCTCAGAAACCCAGAGGAGCAGTTCTACTCTGTCCTATAGGGTCGCTAGGAGTCAGAAGGGACTCATGGCAGTTTTTAGTTTTGTTTTGTGTCTTTGGTTGTACATAAGGTCATTATGAGTCAGAAGGGACTCGGCAGTGAGCAGTTTTATGACAGCTGATAGATTTGATGGGTTGTTATTTCAATGAGTATTTGAGCTCCTGTGAGTTTTTAAGAGTATGTTAGTGCCAAAGGAAAATCATTCTTATCTTAAAAAAAGAAAGAAGTGGCAGGGAGGAACCGCTCAATGAGATGGTTTGACACAGTGTTTGCAGCCATGGGCCCAAATATACTAAGGATTGTGTGGCAGGTGCAAGCAGTGCTTCCTTTTGTTGTACATAGCGCCCTTATGTATACATGGGAACGTATTCTCAGGCACCGAAGAACACCACCAGCTTTGATAAAACACCAGGCTCGGGCTTCTGTCCACACCAGTGAATTAGTACAGCTAGTGACGTCACTGCCATCAGAAAGGCAGCTGCAGTGCTTATGTAGATAGACAGGTGTGTTTGTTCTTTGGTAATATTTTGAGATTAATGTAATACATGTAAAATTACTAAAGTTTTGAAAATGATGACTGGAACAGAAGAAACCATTCCATCTTTAGACCGTTTTAAAAGGTTAGATGTGGTCCCTCGGTGCAGGAACTATTCATGATTTTATCAAAAAGTCAGTGGCAGTTTGGTTTTTCTTAAAAAGAGAAGGGAAAATTGTCCATTGTCTTTCTTCAGTGCTGAGCGTCATCAAGCTTCCTTTGTTAGTGTGCATGTTTCTGCTTCTCATCAGCTGTGTGACCTCAGCCAAGATACTGTCATCTTGAAATGAGTGAGTTGGACCAGGTGCTTTTTTTTAAGTATTGTTTCTTATACTTGGAAATTCTCTGATACCTCTGATAGCTCACAGATACAGCTCCTATATAATTTCTATACTAGTTAGCCACTTTACCCCGAAACTTAGCATTTAATTATGCACAGATGTTTGTTTTTCCTTGTGCTGATGTGTAGCATTGTTCTCCCCAGTTAAATTGGAAATCATTGATCAGAGGTGGTATGTTTTCACTTTGCCTGCACCTTGGGTTCATAGAAATTGGCGTGTGTCACAGAGTAAAGGTGATGTCATCACCACTTGATCGTTTGAGGTATTCCACCCCTGCCTTGGCAAAGTGTATCAACAACCTTTGTAGAGGTCATAAGGGAGATTCAGGAGGTGTAGTCTGCTCCTTGGTGTTCTCGTTCTTTGAAGGATTACCAAGTAACAGCACCTCATGGGGTCAGCTCATTTCCAGTATGTATATTTTGAAACAAATGACAATCCTAACTAAAATTCTGTCGATGCCTAATGCTCTGTAAATGGTATAGTATATAAACCTGAGACCTTGAGTTTGAATCTTAGCTGGTTGACCATTTACCTAACGCCTTCTGTGTAAGTGAAAAGGATACAGTCATTCTAACTTATCAGGTGGATGTGAAGAATAAATTCTACATGTAAAATACATAAAGGCCAGCTGAGCAGATAGCAAACTGTCATCAACACCACTGGACAGAGTACGTTTTACTGTTCATCCACAGGACAAGATAGATGGTTTAGCTGGCAGGCTCAACCTTAGACTAACTTTTATAATGGAAAAATAAATCAGGTCTAGAATTTTATAAAGCCAGTTTGCTTTTTAAATTTAATTTTTTCCTTTTTACCCTTGATTATGGTTAAAAA